TCAAAACAGTCGCACACCCACCCATGCACACCCACCAGATGCCCTTTTGCAGAGCAGCAGGAGGCAACTCACTTGTTCTCGCAGTATGGCCCAAAGTAGTTGTCCGGACACTCGCAGGTGTAGCCATGGGAGGAGCTGGGCTTGCGGGCGCATACGGCTTGATGCTCACAAGGGTTGAGCGAGCAGACATTGGCACAACTGTCACCGTAGTAGCCTGAAGCAGCAAGGGGAAAACCTTGAGCCCTATGTCATCCTCACCCGTGTAACTCTGGCCAGAAACTCCAGCATAAGGTTGAATGGAGGACACCCCAAACAAGAGTTTCTGGCTGGACACAGAAGGAAGGGAACCACCTGTCAGGGACTGGACTGAGGAGGGATGGTGGAGACCTCCTTCCCCTCCTCCTGAACCTTCCAGAGAAGAGGAAGACAGTATAGTTTTACAACAGTGGTTTGCAGAAGGTCACAGCTCAGAGGTAGATAAGGGACAAAGTTGGGAAATAATTGAAGAAGAAGAGGAGGGGGAAGCAGAGCCGGAGCAGCTGGCTGATACGTCATCACTAGAAAGCATTCCAGACCCCCCTTCTCCCATAACCCAGCAAGCATTGAAAGTAGGAGAGCAAAGAGCTAGGAAGCAAATGGCCCTAAGCAGCCACCATAAGGTGGGTGGTGTGGTGACGATTGAGGAAAGAAAGGGGGTGGAGATTACTCAGAGCAATGCCATTACTCCAAGAGGCAACATTTCTAAGCCTCTCTCTGTGTGGATATTGAACAAAAGACAATGGTAAGAGCTTCCTTGTCTATCTATTCCTGGCAGCCTGCTGTGGGGGCAGAGGGCGGATTCCCTGATGCCTGACACCACCCCTCAAGGTGCAGCAAAGAGTAACAGCTGCAGATGAGAGGGATGGCTGGAGAGAGGGGAAGCAGGCTGGGATTCATCCCTAAGCCTGGATTGCACGGTCTCTGAGGTCATTAGAGGTGGGGAACATGCGGACCTCCAGATATGCCTGAAGTACAACTCCCATCATCTCCAGCATGTATAGCCAATGGCCAGGGTGTTGTTGTTCAGAAGTTCAGGTGGAATCACAGCTAGCTCTGATACAATGAAAACGAGGCTCCATCTCTGCAGTATCTGAAGAAGTGTGCATGCACACAAAAGCTCATACCAATAACAAACTTAGTTGGTCTCTAAGGTGCTACTGGAAGGAATTTTTTTATTTTGTTTTGTACAGGCACCCTGTGTACCTAGTTACCCCTAATGGCTTAGCTCACCCTGTATTACACAGGGCTAAACTTTGGAAGGTACCAGTGTGGAATCTCTCCAGTACTTCTTGGGGAAGAGCAGCAGCAACAGCTCTTCCGTCGCCCCTTCTCTGCCCACCCCCCAACTGACCTGGGTCACAGCTGCAGGAGTAGCTGTCCCAATCGTCATTGCAGTAACTGTTGACAGGGCAGGGGTTGGAGTCACAGGGATCCGGGATACTGCAGCCACGTTCCACGTTCACCTTCTCAGCCTGGTTCACATTCAGAGCCACAGCACTGGCTGATGTCTCACCCATCCTTACACCCTGGGAATAAAGAGAACACGGGGGGGCGGGGTCAGGTTGCAGCATCACAGAGATCCAGCTCTTAGAAGGGCAGACACCTACACACTTGCATTTCCTGCTCAGAATTTGCTGGCTGTTGTGTGCAAACTAAGGGCACTTTCAGACTGGCACTATTTCTGAGTGGGATTCGATCGCATCCCAGGAAATTCAGGCTGTGCAATTAAAGCTGAGTTGGATAAGCTCCTGCAAAGCAAATTGACTTCTCCAAAATATCAGACTTTTTGCAAACAGGAAAGTAATGGATAACATTGACTTGGCGCAACATTGTCTACAAATACTCATTAAATAGTTGGTGGCACCTAATCTCTCTGCAGACAAATTGGTCCAAATGCACGTTATAAACAGGTTGTCTGGAAGCAGCCTAAATTGCCCCCTTACTGGGAGCAAAAAAACACACCCCAGAAATAAGTAAGTTAGGCATGAACCACTGGAGAACTGCAGCCCCTAGATGGCACTGTGCTCCCTGCAATAAAGGTGCACAGAATGAGTAAGGTCAGAGTTTGCACTTGGGAGAGTTGCACAAATCTGATAGCGATTCGATTTGTTCCAACATGCATCTTATCTGAGGTACCACACACTCGACCCATATCCATCTGCATGGCAGGCAAAACCAAATGTGGGCGTCCAAAAAAGTGGGGAGCAATAAAAAATAGTGCTGCTCTGAGATTGCTGGTGATCTTATTTTAAAAGGGACCGTCAGTTACACCCTCCTTTCCTCCTGACAACAAAAAGAGAGTGACAAATGTATTATACAAATGCAATCTACAACCAATCAGCAGGACTGCTTCAGCCACACAGTTCCAACCACATAGGGTTGGAGGGTGAGAGCATATAATCAAATGATTATTGAATTGTACAGCTGGAAGATACCCAACAGGTCATCTATTCCAACCCCCTGCAATGATGGTTGTCCTGACTGCAATTTTCCAGGTGGGGATATGTGGCAGCTTCGAACTTTGTGCATACACACACACACACACGGAGAGATAGAGAGAGAGAGAGAGAGAGAGAGAGAGAGAAGCAGCCAGACAGACAGGCATGCACCACCAGACGCACAGATACACAGAGAACACATGACACACAAAAATCTGCTTGGGCTAATTAGCCCTGAGAAATATGGCCCTGGGAGAACAGTTAATGGGAGAAGAGGCAGTGCCTGCACCTGGCTCAACGTGGACCTGGGCATTACCTGCAGCCCAGAATGGGGCCACTGATGCTGGCTCCTCGCCCTGCTTACCTGCATGCAGCCACGGAAGCCTTGCTGCACTTCACCCTGCTCCCCAGGAATGCCGCCAACGCTCAGGTTCCGCATTTTGAGTCCGTGCAGCTCGCTGCTGATGTTGATTGCCACCTGGAGGACAGGTAAGAGACAAAGCAGCCATCTGGCATTGCTTTCCCCTAATATTTTGAAGAGGCCACAACACTTGAGGGGGAAAGGGAATAGAGGCAGGGCTTTTTTTCAGCAGGAACTCAGGGGAATTCAGTTCCAGCACCTCTCAGGTGGGTTCAGGCACCTCTCAGGTGGGTGCCATTGCCATTCTAAAAGAACAAGGGAGTGGTGAGTGGCAGCACCTCTTTTTCTAGAAAAACAGCATTGGGTAGAAGTCAGGGGTGCAGGCCGTTGGAAGGTAGGAAGGGGCTGGAACTAAAACAACAGTGCATGTTGGTTGATTTGGAGCAGGGAGGGACATGAGCAGAGCTTATGGGAAAGCGAGTCCAGTGTTATAGAACAGCTTGGGAGAGAAGTCACAAAGCCGGCAGCTGTTGTCGAGAAAGAACGGAGCGCACTTCTGAGGGTGAAGTCAACTCACTCCCCATACCTGATGCAAGCCGTAGTCAAAGGCCATTGTGGCTAAGCACTGGGCTTCTGGGTTGTCCCTGCTGCTGCGCAGCTCCAGTTGCATATGATGCCAGTCCCCATCGTTCACCTTCACCTGGTGCAGCCGCAGGGCGGAGACCCGGCTGTTGGCACGGTACACAGTCATCAGCACGTTCCCTTCGCTCAGCTGGGAAAGAGGTAAGAAGCGGGTGAGCTGGCATTCTCACTACTGAGAGCAGTGCATCAATTGCGCCTGCTCCTGATAACCTTGTGGAGCAAAGAACCCGCATCCCCTCCAACCTCTCTACTTCTTGCTTGTAGGTGAAGGCGGTCTTCTCCAGGCCACCGATCCACAGGGTGCTCCTGCCCTGGCTTGGAGACTTACCCACAAGGTGATGGTAGAATGCTGCCCGGCTGCCGCATGCAGGAGGACGCCGTTGCTCTGCCGAGTACGGAACATGAGTCCAATGTGCCATGGAAGGGTGATGACCAAGGCCAAGTTGTTCCAGATGACCATGCTGTTGCCCAGGAAGCGCTGGGGGTTTGCCATTTCTGCATGGTGGGAGACACAAGTCAGCAAAAGCAGGCATTGCTATACAGCAGAGCAGTCGCCGGAATATGGGTCCTGCATGCATGTAAACCACAGATTTCCAGTCACACCCTACAACAAGGCTGCCAGCACAAGTCTGAAAGGCTGTATGCGCCTCCTGAGGCATACTTGTGCAACTCTGGAACTCCCAGCTCCACTTTTGCTTAAAAAAAAACAGTAATAAAATAAGGTTCTAGCCTTCAGGGTTACAGAAAGGCTTGGAAATATGGCAGCCTGATACATACAACCTTCTTTTCTTTTTATGCAACTCAGAACAATCATTGCAGGGTGAACTTTCCTCTTGATGCAGACATATTATTTGAAATCATTCTCATGGAGTAAGACAGCAAGTTATAAGATCCTATTACTTTTCTCTCCGGGCCACAATGGAGTACTAAATGTGCATTTATGCTGTAGCTCCCCTCCTGGGCCTAGAATAATGTTCTGGTGACAATTCAGAAGCAGAGGAGAAATTGGGGGGGGGGAGGAGCAATGTGGAGGAGAAACTCTGCATTGGCACCAAACACAGAGTGCTTTTTTCCTTCCAAGGAGGTGGCCATAGGAGTAAACAATGTCTACACAGCTTAAGCAGTGCATCATCTGACTGGCATGTCAAATGCATGTCAAATGAGTGCATCTGAGGCAGGGATGAAACTTATGGGTACAGCAGAAGGCCTTTGTTAATCCTCTCTCTCTCTCTCTCTCTCTCTCTCTCTGTGTGTGTGTGTGTGTGTGTAAATGAGAGGGAATGAGAGAAAAGGTGATATGCTCAACCCTTAGTGAATGCTGGAACCAGTGGAAGCGGTCACTAGACTGCCACAAGTGTAAGGACAAACATACTAGAGTTGTATTAATCCATCTCCTGACCCTTCCAGTGGAACACTGTGGGATAAACAGTATAGGAAGGGGAGGGGATGAGGGGGAATGCTAGCAGGTGGGGTCTGAACCCCCCCCCCATCTTATTGCCAGGCATTCTATGGGTTTGGGACAGGCAAAGGCAAACTCAGCCCTCCAGATGTTTTGGGACTACAACTCCCATCATCCCTGACCATTGGTCCTGCTAGCTAGTCCCAAAACATCTGGAGGGCCGAGTTTGCCTATGCCTGGTTTGCCTCCATCCCTAAAGCAGGGCCTGTCCCAGGCATGGGGAACCTGTGGCCCTGCAGAGGCTATTGGACTTCTGCTCCCTTCACCCCTGACCATTGGCCAGGATGGCTGGCTGGAACTGTTGGGAGTTGAAGCTCTACAATATCTGACAGGTGAAGTGCTTCTCAACCTGTGGGTCCCCAGATGTTGTTGGACTACAACTCCCATCATTCCTGAGCTCTGGCCTTGCTAGGTAGGGGTGATGGGAGTTGTAGTTCAACAACATCTGGGGACCCACAGGTTGAGAAAGGCTGAGTTAGAGGTTCCCCATCACTGGCCTAGACACCACCCCCTTGATCTTTGCCTGATTATACTGAAGGACTAGACACCATCTTCAGCACAATGGCATTTGAGGCAACTGTGTCCTACGCAGCTGAGAAAACAGCTCCTGTTTACTTACACTCCCAGGCCTTAACAGGAGCGTGTGAGCTACCTCTCACTCTGACACCCAGAAGTTATTATCACTACAACCCAGCATCCAACATTTTCTGGACTACTGTTGGATTATGTTGACAGTGGCAGCAAAATCTTCTGAAGCTCATTAACTTAAATGGGTGTTATGTCCTCCCTGCTACCCCAGCCCCACACACAGGGATTGAGACTGGACAGAGATAGTCTGTTAACATTCCACCCCTTATCCTCAGAAGAAAAAGGCAGCAAAAAGCCCCAACATCCTTGCTGCCCAACTATATGCAACATGAATCATGTGGTTTACTCTTGAGCGCAGCCCAGTTGGAGTGGTTCAGAAACTTCCCCCCATGCAAATTACAGGCACTGGAGATGGGGATGGCTCTGGATTGGGACCACCACTGAGGAGAATAAGAAGCTCCCTGCCCGCCCCACGCCTACACTGGGGTCCCAATCTGGATCATGGCCAACCCCACTCACTATTTCTGCAAGGGGAAATTCTGCGCTCAAAATACGTGATCAATTATATATGTAATTTGGCCTTCCATCTCCCAGGGACCATTCAAGCTGCCTTATCAGAGCTACCATGTCCCCATAGCCTCCCTTCTTTACCTTGCTTGCAGTCCTTGCCTCCAAAACCCAGGGGACATTCGCAGCTGAAGGTGTTCCACTGGTTGACACACGTGCCGCCGTTGTGGCAAGTGTTGCTGTCACAAACGTTCTTCTTGGCTGAACAGCCTAGAGGAGAAAAGTGAGACGGCACTGGAAAGGATAAAGGCAGCAGAAGATGCTCCAGGGGTTAGGAATGGAGTGTCAAGGCAGGCAAGAGAGGAGGCAACTGTTGAGAGTAATCAGGGACAGGACTGAAGCCCTTTTACAAAGACCCATCACTACACCACAACACACACACGCGCGCACAATGGCACACCCAGCAATATTTTTAAAACAGTCAGTACTGTACTTTTCTTGCCAGTTTTGCATCCCTTGTATCAATTGGATCCATCCACTAGATATAACATAAGCCATACCTGGCACCGTCCCATTGTTGGCAATGAAGTCAGCCATGTCCACCTCTCGGTTATCAATCAGGAAGTCCCGAATACAGCCTACAAAGTGCCGGTTCCGTACTGGGAAGCTCTCGGGCAGGTCAGGAACGCCACCTAACAACAGTGGACCTGTCAAATCCAGGGACCTGGGAAGCCAAGACAGGAGTAACTCAGGAGGTCAAGCTCAACCGAGGGAATGGCAGATTAAAATACATCTTCTGACCCAATCATGGCTGGCATCATTGTGGTCTTTCAGGTCAAGCGATTGACATCATCAGAGCTATAGGTACCTGGATATGCCAGGAGCTTTGAAGAATCCCACAATGGGGTAGCAAAGCTTTTAGCCTAGACTTGTCTCTGTGTAAAGTTGTAGTAGCAGAAGGTAGCTGGTGAAGACTAAGATGTCCAATAGCTCAACAGTGAAAAATAGTGCTGCCCAGAATACAGTCGTACCTGGGAACTCGAACACCTTGCAAGTTGAACGTTTTGGCTCCCAAACACCGCAAACCCAGAAGTGAATGTTCTGGTTTGTGAACGTTCTTTGGAACCCGAACATCCAACGCAGGTTCTGTGGGACCTTCCTGCAGCCAATCGGAAACCACGCCTTGGTTTCTGAACATTTTGGAAGTCGAACGGACTTCTGGAATGGATTCCGTTTGACTTCCAAGGTACGACTGTACAGCAATTATTTGACCCTGGAGATCAGAGTGGTGAACCTTTTTGGCTCCAGGACCAGGATCCTTATCAAGATCAGCCTCTAGGGCCAAATGTATAAGCTGGGCAGGACCACTGATCAGTCAATATCACATGGCTGACTAGCCTTCACTAGTCTCCCCATCCTTCACTTTTAGTCCCCAATCTTCAATCTCCACTCCATCAGCTGAAAGGTCATTAAGTGCAGAGGTCAAACTTCCCCAATTGCTCTACTGAGACCTCCAACTGCAGGATGAAGGTGGATTGTGAAAGCTAGAACAGGTGAACGCTATCCCACAGGGCATGATCCTAATAGGAATTTCCCCAGTGAACAATAAGCACAGTGGAGCCAGCCTGGCTCTAGCTATGTATGCTCGTTCTTCATTTCTCCAGGCTCATTAGTTGTGTTTATAGCGCACATAAAATTCTTACTTCTTGGTGCCTGACTGTGTCCCTTGAGCTGAGCAAGAATAGTTTCCCAGCATGGAACCAAACTTCAAGGCCACGGAAGTGTCACAGTCATCCACTGTCACCACAGCTACCTTCTGGTCAGAGGGCCCCTGAGGAACTCCAGACATCCCCACGATGGGCTGTGGAGAAAAAGCAGAATCCTGATGCAGCCAAGTAATGGCCATGGCAGCACAATCAAAGGGCAAGCCAGGAAGAGCAAGGTATTGTCTAGACACGTGTTGTGGGACTGTAACTCCCATCATCTATTGGCTGTGCTGGCTGGGGCTGATGGGAACTGGACTCCAACAACACCTGGAGGGCCACAGGTTCCCCATCTCTAGACTAAGAGATGCCAGAGCAGGTAAAAGCTCTCTCCCAGTATCTCTAAACGTATGAGGAGAGGAAGCTGCCTTAGACCAAGGCAGGCCAATGGAAAAGCAGCCATGTGGGCAGCAGTTCTGGAAGGATCTTCAAGGAGCTGAATGTCTGGGGCAGACACTTGCAAAGCCCTCCGCGCATCTGGGATGCTGAGCACTCAACAAGCGAGTGGAATTCTTCCCCTTGCAGTTTCACCTCATGTTTATGTGTGAAGGAGTGATTCTAACATAGCATATTAGACTCATTGTTTCACATGTAAACATGCCGTAAAACTTCACAGGGCAAAATTCCACCCTATTATCACCCGGCATTTAACAGTTGTAGGGAGAGAACCGGGGGCCAGAATTTGCTCTAGATTAATGAATCTACCATAAAAGACGCTTCTCTGTGTGTATGCTCCCCTGAGGACAGCTGAACAATCTGATCTATAGGTACAGATCCAGGACACAAATACAGTGTCCCATATTGATCTAGCAGCAGACAATGCCCAGCTGCTTCCAATAAGTATCTCTCAGCAGCAAGAAGGATGAAAAGGCTCACTGTAAAAAAAGGGTGACCTGAGATTCTTGTGATGCCTAATTCTGCCACAGAACACACAGAAACACACACGTGATCCCTGTTTTAAAAAGCACTATGTAATCACAACACAAAGGAGAGGAATTATCTTGCAAAAGACTACAGAGGAGTGATGGACCTTTGATCTTAGGCAGTGCCTCTATCTGTACCAGTGCATTTTAAATGCAACACTTTCTTTTCTTGTATATTGTTCTTACTGTTCCTAAAGAGTTTGCATATATGTAATGCTTGTGCGTGCATACTTGCGCACGCACAAACACACACACATTTAGTGCACACCTACTTCGCTCTCCCACGTGAACTAGGTCACTTAATGCATTCCGAGGGCAGTGTTGTTTTAATCTTTTTGACTTACGCCAAATGCATAGGCAACCAAAGTCAGATTCCTTTTTTTAAAAAATCAATTTATCGACCTACTAAATAGTTTGACCATAGTTCACACTTTCATAATGTTACAATTTCCCAGCCCCACTGAAGAGATTAAGGAAATAAATACAGCAGAAAATGTACACCACATCATATAAGTTATAGTAAGGCAGGAGTTGGGGAACATGAGCCCCAATGGACGTTGTTGGACTCCCACTTCTATTAGTCCTTAGTCAGCCTAGCCAATGATCAGGGATGAAGGGAGTTGTAGTCCAGCAGCATCTGGAGGGCCACAGGTTCCCCAACCATTGCAGGAAAGAGTCCCCAAAGCAATTAACAGCATTAGATTTTACAGATTTCCACAGAGCTGCCAATGTGCAGAGAGCGTTGTACAGATGACACGTTCATTCGTATTGACTTAACGTATTTTGCTAAGTGAGGAACAAAGTGCAAATATCTGTCAATAGCTTCTCCCCTTTTATACACAAAAATTGAGCAAGGGGAAAACTGGAGGAGAATCTACCATAAATTTTGGAAAGTTGTTTGTCTGATGGCTACGAGTTTTGACACTTCTTAAGATATTGTAAACAACTTTTGCATGATGGTCCCCGATATCAAGGAGCAGGTTTCTGTCTATGTTTGGATACAACGGGACACCATTTTGAAGCAAGGTAGTGGTAGACTGAACCTTTCAAAACTGCACTGGTTTTAACCGCAGAGTTCAAAACGGCATTGATTTCTTGATTTCATAGAAATCCCAAGCCATATCACGAAAGAGACTGCTAGTGTGAAATAAGCAAGCATGTGCAAAATCAGGCGAGAAAGTAATCAAAGCTTAAGAGGGGTCTCTCTTGGGGGGTGGGAACTGGTGAAGAGTGTGCACAATCAGATGAAAAAATATGTTCCACTGGAGATTGTATCTGTGTGCAGGTGCCTATTAAAGGATAATCCCAAAATTAACCCCACATTTGGCCACATGTTGTTCCCTTTTGTGATTTTCCTACTGCTGTTTCTTTTCCATTTCATCAGGCACAAAAGGTATA